ATGTCTTGGGAGGTTCAGACTCTTTTACATTATACTGTATATAGAAGGTGGGCAGATGAACGTCTGCTTCTTCTTACTGTGCGTTATGACACTTTGAATGTGCGGTGCGTGGGTGAGTATACTCGACAAGAGTTGTGATAGACTGTGGGGTTAGCCCTGCACCTCCTGGGAATGCCCCTCACTTGGACAGTGAAGGGCCTGCTTTTTTTTTAATGTCTTTGAAGGGATGAAATGGTCAGAATTTGGCAGCATTTAAGAAAAAAAAAGATCTATTTTTACGTATAAATATTCATGCAGGTTCCCACAGAAGCCAGGAAAGGGCATAAAATCACCTGAACTCAAGCCTCCATGTGGGTGCTGGGAATTGAACCCATGTCCTCTGGAAGAGCAGAGAGAGCTTTCAACTGCAGTTTTATTTCTAAGTTGCGTACATTCTGATTGGTATGGGCAACTTTTAATATAGACATTTTAATAGATGCTTAATTGTTCATTTTTTGTGTAGTCTATAAAATTATTATTTTTTACCCTGGTGCATAGTAAAATGCCTAACATGTAGTAAGCAATCAGGAACTGCTTGGTAAATTGCAACCTCCTTATTCAAACCTTATAAAATATGTATCATTTAATGTATAGGCAGGCACTGAAGTACTTGAGGTATTGATTTTGTACAAGACACACTAGCATATCATAACAATATATTAAATGTGTATGAGTTGTATGGGCCATTTTCTTTATAGTTTGGGAGTGGGTATGGGGGGGTGGAATATTTACAAACAAGGTTATGGTGTCTTTCCTGAGCAGGAAAAGTAAGTTTTTGGATTTCTATTGTATTATTGTTCAAAAACAATGTTCTTTGTATAAGGAATACTTTCAAAAGCTTGCCAACATTTGAATAGCAGACACACTTTCTTACTCTCCCAACTTTCCGTTTTGCTTTCATTGATGACGCCTTCAAACTACTAGTTAGGAGACCTAAAATAGCTGTGGATAATACCAGACTCTGCCTTCTAGAAAGCATTAGGGCTTTTGATGGGTGGTAAAGACAAAGAGGACCTGGCCCAGAAATGCCAGGAGCTTCATGTCGTCACTCCAGCCTCTTTCATTTGGTAGTAAATATCATTTGATAAGGACTCAGCTGTCTTGTTCAGTCTTATGCAAGTCACTTTCAGTATTTAAGTTTGACACCAAGTGCTTTCAAAGGACCTTTTCTTGTAGTCCCCCGAATCCTGGCCTTATCTCCACTTTACAGACTAGAAAAGTGACATACTAAGAGACTAGGGAACCTGCTCAAGGTTGCATATTTGTAAGTGGAAAAGCTGGTATCAATCCAGAACTAAGAAACCTGGCTTTGGAACCCCACCTCCCCTTCCTTCTCATTTGTTGGGTTTTTTGTTTTGTTTCATTGGTTCATTTTTTGAGAAGGTATCTCTATTATGTAGCACTGGCTGTTTTAGAACTCACTGTATAGATCAGACTGGCCTCGAACTCACAGATATCCACTGGCCTCTGCCGTCCTGGTATTAAAGGTGGATACCACCACACTTAGCATCTTTCTCAGTTATAAATAACACAACTTTGATGGTATAAACAGTGAGTGTTGAAGCAATGCACTAGAGAACCTCTGGTCCCTGGTACCTTGTAGGTGATCAATAGCTGTTTAGTAACTGTCCTGATGCTGAGATTTAGTGCTTATAATTTTAAGCTCTGTTCTGCTTTGGTATACCAGTTAGAAACTTTGAAAACGAATTATCAAGGAGAAATTAGAAACTGAAGTACTGTAAATTGCCATATAGATCCTCATTGGTTAGAAGTCATATCATTGTGAAAGCAGGAAAATCAAGCAATGGATTGAGGAAGTGAGACGAAACTTCATGTTTGCCTTTCTATTTTCTTTCACTCCAATACTTCCAACAGTCACAACATTTGTACTCAAGATGCAGTACCCAAGTGTTGTTTTCCTTAGTGTCAAATAGCTGTGGTCTTGGTATTTACATGGTTGTGTTTCTAAGCGTTGCTTTAAGTGAGCAGTTCCAAGGAATTCAAATTTTGTCTCAAATGTAGAATTACAAAATTAAAAGTAATAAATAAATTGTATGTATTATATCTTGGGAAACATTCATGTAAATGTTTTAGTCATTCAGGATTAATGAAAATTTTGAATGTGCATTGGAGACACACAAGCTATGTTGAATTATTAACTGGTGATAATGTGTTTTTAACCTTTTATTTTTCTCATTGATACTTTTATATAGGAAATTAAAACATACAGAAATATTTTTTCCTTCTTTTTTTTTTTTCTGAGACAGATTTCTCTATAGCCTTGGAGCCTGTCCTGGAACTGGATCTGTAGATCAGGCTGGCCTTGAACTCACAGAGATCCACCTCTCTTTGCGTGAGTGCTGGGATTAAAGGTGTGGCCACCACCACTCTTGCAGTTGTCTCAATCAGGTTTTGTTACATCTATCCCCTGGCATTAGGTTCCAGGACCCCCCCCATACCCAAATTGATGTGTTCAAGTCCCCTCTATAAAAAAGCATATAAGCGCCAGGCGTTGGTGGCACACGCCTTTAATCCCAGCACTCAGGAGGCAGAGGCAGGCGGATCTCTGTGAGTTCGAGACCAGCCTGATCTCCAAGAGCTAGTTCCAGGACAGTCTCCAAAAGCCACAGAGAAACCCTGTCTCGAAAACCAAGAAAAAAAAAAAAATAAAAGCATATAAGCTACATACATCCTCCCATATATATTAGATCATCTCTGGCTTACAATACTCACTAAAATGTAAATTATCTGTAAACAGTATGTACATGTTCAGTATAGATACAGTATTAAAAATATCAAAAGCATATTTTCAGCCTGCAGTTAGTTGAGTCTGTAGGTGTAGAGCCTGAGAGTTCAAGGAACAACTGTCTTTGATAAGCACTCATCAGATTCGCTTTCTGGATTTCTTTATGTGTAATCCAGGAAAAAATACATATTAATTTCTAAACGTGTCTAGCCAGAAGTTGTATTTATGCTTTTATTTACTTAAGACAAATTCTTATTGTGTTTGTCAGTCTTGGCTGGAACTACTACGATGTACTTTTGCTTCAACTCTGGGCACATACCACCACACCACACCCAGTTCAAGCTTTTTTTTCTAGACAGGGTTTCACTGTGTGGCTCTGTAGACCACGCTGGCCTTGAACTCTCAGAGATCCGCCTGCCTCTGCCTCCCAAGGGCTGGGATTTAAGGTATTTGCCACTACTTTCCCGTAATTGTGTGTGTGTGTTTTATCTTTTTGTTGTTTGCTTTTGAGACAGGGTTTCTCAGTAGCTTTGGAGCCTGTCCTGGAACTCACTGTGTAGACCTGGCTGGCCTCGAACGAAAGAGATCCTGCTGTGTCTGCCTCTCAAGTGCTGGGATTAAAGGCGTGTGCCACCACCACCCAGCCAATTCAAGCTTTTAAATTTGCACCTAACTCAAAACATTTTCACTGAGTCCTGATTCTACTATATTGTGAAAATGTTATGTTTCCGTACTCAATTTTGTTGTCTTTTGTTTGTTTTGTTTTTCAAAATAGGGTTTTCCTGTAGCTTTGGAGCCTGTCCTAAAACTCAGTCTGTAGACCAGGCTGGCCTAGAACTCAGAGATCCTTCTCCCTCTGCCTCCTGAGAGCTGGGATTAAAGGCGCCACCATGCCTGTCTCTATAATCACTTTAAAACATTTTAAAGGTTTTTGTAAATAGATATTTCTTCAACAGAGAACTTGGTCGCCTCTTACTAGACATTTGCAATTAAAAACAAACAAGTAATAGTAACTGCCAAGTACAGCTCAACTCCTCCACGCCTAGTTTTGAAAGCACCTGTAAGCAAGAGGCATTGGGTGGTTAGAAAAGTGAAACATTATCACGTGCAGTTTTGTTTAGTTGTTTGATGATCCTCAGCTCATCACTTAAGCAAAAGTTGTGTATGTGTATATTGAGGGGAGGGTGTTAAATTTATGTGGTAGTGCCTAATTTAGTGATTAAAATCTGACCGGACAGAGTTGTCCTTTTTATATTCCATAATCTACGGGCTCTCATCTGATCCTAGGAAATACAACCGAAAATAGCGACAGACTAACAACTCAAAAGTGATACACTGATTTCATGGGTCTCTTCTTGCTGGAGAAGAAATGCAAGTTCCCGGGACACACAGTGTGACCTTCAGTGGTGGGCACCGAGGTCCACGTGTGAGGCTTCTCATGCAGTAGGGGCTGGATGCCCACACCTGAGCTAACACCTGGGCAGCATTTTCACACTTGCCGGTGGCTCCTTAGCTGCAGGGCGGCCGCACAGTGGCGGCTTCCCATTCATGCTCCAGCTACTGTGCAGCCGCCCGCGAGCTCCGAGCGAAGAGCCGGTGCCCGAGGCTCCGGAGGGAGGGCCTCGGCGACGCACTAGTCGCTGCGCCGGGGCCGCCGGCCGGCTCTTCCATAGGTGGCTGCGTTTCCGACTTCGCCCTGGCTCCACTCCGGGGGCTTGACGTGCAAACTTCGCCGGAGCGAGCAGAGAGGGAGGGACCGGCGAGGGGGAGGAGGCGACAGGAGGCGCCTCCGCTTAAGGGAGCCGGCCGGGCGCCGCCGCTCGGACGGACGCGCGGACGGAAGGAAGGAGCGGGGCTGCGGGCCGGCCGGGCCGGGATGCGAGCGGCCGCAGGGTGGGCAGCGGCGGGCCGGGGCGCGGGCGGGCCTGAGGCCGCGGCGGTGTGGCTCGGGGCGCTGGCCTCCCGAGGAGGGCCGGCCGGGCCGGGCAGCCAGCGCCGCAGTGGCGGCCGCAGCCGGCGCCCTACGAGGGCCGCGGGAGGCGAAAGCGAAAGCCAGCTGCGCCGCGGACTTTGCGCCCGGGCGGGGGCGGCGGCGGGGGGGCCGGGGGCTGTCAGCAGCACCGGCCTGCGGGCCGCGCACGCCGCCGGAACTCCGCGGCGCCTCCTTAAAAGCGGCCCCCGCGCCACTCTTTTCCCCCTTTTTGTTACATTGTAGGAGCGGAAAGAATGTCGGAGCGGGCCGCGGATGACGTCAGGGGGGAGCCGCGCCGCGCGGCGGGCGGAGCAGCGGCCGCCCGGCAGCAGCAGCAGCAGCCGCCACAGCCTCTGCAGCCCCAGCGGCAGCACCCGCCGCCGCGGCGCCCACGGCCGGAGGACGGCGGCTCCGGGGCCGCCACCGCCTCGGCCGCCGCCATGGCGACGGTGGGGGAGCGCAGGCCCCTGCCCAGTCCCGAAGCGATGCTGGGACAGTCGTGGAATCTGTGGGTGGAAGCTTCCAAACTTCCTGGGAAGGATGGTGAGTGTCCACGCCTCCCCGTTCCCCACGCCCCCCGCTCCCCCTCTCCGGCCCCGCTCCCGTCCCCCCGCGCCGTGTCCTGTGACCCGCCCCCCTTGGGGGTCAGAGATGCTATCTTTTGCTGGGTGTGGAACGCGGAGGTGCCCACACCTACCCTGTGCGTGCGTGATCGTGCGTCACACTCCTGGCCACTGACCTGCCTCTCCCCTCCTCCTGTGTGTGTATATCTCCTAGGGACCGAATTGGATGAAAGTTTCAAGGAGTTTGGGAAAAACCGCGAAGTCATGGGGCTCTGTCGGGAAGGTGAGTCCGGTCCCCCTCGTGGAGTTTGTACCCAACCCTGGGGAAGTTTTCTTGTTGCCCACCTTCTCTGCTTGCCACATTGAGGATGCTCCTGAAGAGGAGGGAAGGGGTGAATAGAACATTTGAGAAAGTCTGGTTTCTAGGGGGCTCCCTGTAATGGGCAGCGAACTGGATCCCCTCTGGAAATCTGGGTGCTGTCAGAACAGCAATTGAAAGTGATGGACGTAGGAAACCTGTCGGAAGTTTAACCTACATCCTTTCAGTTCAGACCCTGTTATGGAAAACACCCCAGGAGGAAAGAGTTCTCAGTATTGAAAAGTAGTTCTACACATGTTTGAGACGAAACCTTGACCAGCCCTTGGTTTCTTAAGGCAAAGAGTGAATTTTGAACATTATTATTATTGTTTTGTTTTGTTTTGAGACAGTTTCTCTGTAACCCTGGCTGTTCTGGAACGTGCTCTATAGACCAGGCTAGCCTCGAACTCAGAGATCCGCCTGCCTCTGCCTCCCAAGTGCTAGGACTAAAGGTGTGGTCTACCAAGCCTGAGCATTTGAACTTAAAAGTATTTTATCTCCCTGCTTTCTTGTTTGTGTGGGATTTAAAGCGAAAGTTTAGGATACTGCCCAAAGATCGTCACAACCAAGAATGCACTCGGTAGGAATTGTGTGATTATTTGGCTCTGCCAGGTAAGGGGACAGAAATCCAGAATTTCTACTACTTAAGCTGTTTGGTGGAAGGCTACTCTACTTTAGGTGGCTGAAGGTATGCTCTCAATGAGAGTCAGGTTAGGCAGCTGAACTAGATTGACAGGACCCTTTTCTGTGACTCTTAATGCTTAGCTGGGTACTTGGTGATGAGAAAGGTCATGGCCTTGAGTCAAGTTTGGGATATGGAGTACAGAGTTTACATATACCCGTGCAATTTGATTTCTCACCTGTAGCTGTTTATTTTGGCAGAGTTTCTGTTGAAGGCCCAAGAAGGAGAACTTTGGCAGCTGAACTCTAAACGCAGAACTGACTCGTTACACTATAGTCACAGTTGCTGCAGGGTTTTCCTCTTACCTTTTCTTCCCTTTCCCGGCTTTGGCTTTTTTGACTGACCACTTCGTCTGTTGGCATTGCCAAGAAGAATAACACTGGTGGCAGCCCTAGCATTGCTTCCAGTTGGAAGGGATTGTAGCGCAGATGAGCTGATTTGCAGTGAGGTTTGCTGTTGGAGGGCAGAGGGAAAGCACAGGACTAGTTGGTGATGTTGCAATAGGAAAAATCAGTTGTTAGTCCGGTTTTAGTGTTGACTTGGCAGTCTGCCTGGACTTGAAAAATTAAAATGACTAGGTGGCAACCCTGGTAGGAAACGGTAGAGTAGAGCTTTAAGGACCTAATCATAGTCACTCTTGCTCTCAGTTTTCATTCCCAGTGTGGATGGGTTTCCCTTAAATGGCTTCCACATCTCTAACACAGGATGCAGACTGTAGGTAATTCCCGGGTACAGGACAGATGTGTTTTCTCTGAATGCCTTGATCTCTGAGGCTCAACACAGTGTAGTGGCTGAACCCATTTTTATTGTATTTCATGCCTCCTAATGGGAATATAGTCATCAGGTTTTTTATAAAGCTCTAAGGTCTCCAATCTACCTACAGAAGACCAAAGGGGTCGTGAACCTGCTTGTATTACCGATGTGTCAGAATCTGTTAGAGAGTGGTGTAGGTGGTTTTTGTTGTTTGTTTTGGGCAGGGTTTTCCTATGTAACTCTTGACTGTCCTGTCACTTACTGTGTAGATCTCCCAGCCTCTGCTTCCAAAGTTGTAGAGCTCTGGGATTAAAAGTGTGTACTACTATATGGTTTGCTCCTTTGAAAGCTGCTCTCCATTTGAAAGATGCTCAGTTGGGCTGGAGAGATGGCTCAGTGGTTAAGAGCACTGGCTGCTTCTTCCAAAGGACCCTGGTTCAATTCCCAGCACCCACATGGCAGCTCACTACTGTCTGTAACTCCAGTTCCAGGGAGTCTGACACCTTCACACCAATGCACATAAAATAAAGTTAATTGTTTAAAAAAAAAAGAAAGATGCTCAGTTAATCAGGTTGGCTAGAATTTAGGCTTGCATAATTCGAGTAAAGACTGAAGTTTAGTTCAGGGAGTTCTTCATTTGTGGCTGAAAAGTCCAATCTTAATGAAAGATTGGGGTTACCTTGACTTTTAAAAAAGGCCAGGGAAATAGCTGTGTTGGTAAAGAGCTTACTGTGCAAGGCTGAGACCTGAGTTTGATTCCTGGAATCCACATTACCCACCCACTCCCCACTAAAAGAATGCCTGTTGGTGCATGCTTTAAATCCCACTGCTGAGAGGGAGGGAGAGAGGTGTCTGTATCCCTGGGGCTTCGTGTCCAGCCAGTCTAGTCCACTTGGTGGGCTACAGATTTGGGAGAAAGCATGTTTAATAAAAAGAAAAAGAAAAGAGGTGAGACGGGCAGAGGTGGTACAGGTCTTTAATCCCAGAACTGGGGGCTGCAGGGGGTCGGCAGGGGCAGGCAGATCTCTTGAGTTTGAGGCTAGCCTGGTCTACAGAGTTCCAGGACAGCCAGACCTACACAGAGAAACCCTGTCTTGAAAGAAAAATAAAAAACTAAGGTAGGTGTCTCCAGAGAAACTTCTTTCCCCTACATAAATGTATGCATCCAAACAGACCCAGCTCAACCCTTCAAAACAAAACAGAACAACAAACAGAAAAAAAATGATGGAACACACCTGTACCTTCTCTTGACATTGTCAGGACTTTTACCATTGTCTTAAGATTATCTCCTGCCAGCAAATGATATTGTGGAATTAAATCTATATGAATTGCTTTTATCAGTGAAGTTAAATTGAGAAGAAATATGTAGATAAATTGATTGTATTAATGAAACACAAAGTGAAAACTCCATTATCGAAGATTTTTAGGATATATACCTGATTCCTTAATTCTTCAGTTTGTGATTATGAGCCAACAAACAGAACATAGGGTGTGAAGTGAGTTGTTTTATCTCTGGAAATAACTTTTCTTGTTTGGGAAAAGATATGGTAATACTTCTTTCCCAAGGTTATTGTAGAGGGTGGAAATAAATTATGTAGCATAAAATGACTTGTTGCACAGTGACTTCTTTTGACCCTTTCAACTCCTGGTAGTGTTAGAACTGACTTTGCAATTTGCCCTTTATCTAGGCATCTTTTCAACTTAGGACCCTTGAATGGGCTCCCTGGGATCAAAGTTCTGCTGAAAGTATATGCAAAATAATGTGTGCTCCTACCCTCTGGGACAAATGGCCATAGCCACTTCCTGGATTCTCAGTGCCAAAGTTCAAAACTGCAAAGCTAGATGCTCCTGTGTTTTTTCTCTTTTCTTCCGTATCTGGCTTTAGCCAGTTCATGCATGGCAATAACTGCCCCAAAATTGATGCTGTGGAAGAAACTTGGTGGAAATAGCATCATCCCTGATTTAGCTAATATATCATGTCTGGTCTTTTAGCATAGTTGGTGCATGTTAGGATATGTCAGTTATCTTCCAGAGACCAGCCTGTTGCTCATCTGCATCCAGACTTCATACTGCCTTTTTCTTTATTTTTTTAAAAATTTATTTATTATGTATATGGTGTTCTCCCTGTATATATATGAAGACTGCATCAGATCTCACCATGGATGGTTGGGAACCACCATGTGGTTGTTGAGAATTGAACTCAGGACCTCTGGAAGAACAGCTAGTGTTCTTAACCACTGAGCCATCTCTCCAGCACCCATATTGTCTTTTTCAATAACTTAAAGTGTTAGTTGATAGCACAATGGATTTTGGTGAGCTAAGATTTGAATGACTGAACTCAAAAGATAAATTATCTTTTTCTTCAGTTTTAAATTGAAATTCCTTTTTTGTGGAGAGGGTTGCTTTTTCAAGACAGGGTTTCTCTGTGTAGCCCTGGTTGTCTCTGTAGACCAGGCTGGCCTCAGACTCAGAGATCCACCTGCCTCTGCCTCCCAAGAGCTGGGATTAAAGGTGTATGTCACTACCTGGCTTAAATTAAATTCTACTTTTAAAATGTCACACATTGTTCATTTCTAAAACTTAAATTTAGATGGCATTTAAAAGTGTGAATAGCTGGCTGGGAATTTGATATTAATGTTTACATTGGTAGGGAGACTTAAAGGATAAAATGTTAAATACTTGAATTTCAAAGCAACATTTTACAAATAGATTATGTCATGGTGGGAGTCAACAGTGATGATGGGACATTGTCTTTGCTTTGGGAATTAATCTCTAGCTTCACTGAAGTCCATTTGTATAACAAGCCACCCTGAGTTTTTTATTTTTTATTTTTTTCCTGTTCTCTGTGACTCTTTGAACGTGATTATGTGATGGCACTTCTTTATTGTGTACATTCCTGGGAACAGAGGCATCGTGGATGGAGGCATTACCCGACTTCTGTGTGCTGTTGGGCTCAGTGAACATTTGCCAAGATATAAAACGGGGTTACTAGGGAGGTTGGATTAAAGGGAAGATACCCATACTCCATTTTCAGTCATGGGATTGGGGGTGTGTATAGGGCCATTGTCATTTGGCTCTAGGAGAGGCCAGAGACTTTCAGTGCTTGTTATTGCTTTGCCCAGAATTTAGTGCCCACTTAAATTTTTTGGAAAGGGTAAAGACAAATGCTACCTCTTAGTTGTGATATTTAGACCCAGGAGATCTAGCAACCCAGAATGATGTCCTTACTTGTAGTAGGGATGCTGCAGAAAGAGGTGAGCAGGTGCACTGGCAGCTAGGTGTTTGGTGTTTTAAAGAGAAGCTGGTGAGGTGGGTAGCCCGCACACAGACAGCGCTAACTCAGCAGTACCAACCTGTCCTAGCTAGGCTTACTATTGCTATGGGAGAACATCAGGTTAACTCAGCAGTACCAACCTGTCTTAGCAGGCACACTGTTGCTATGGGAGGAAAGGGCTTGGGCTTACACTTCCACATCACAATTCACCATCAA